TTGAAACTAAAAAAAGTAAAACTAGAATCATAAAATCACAGAATCACTTTAGTTTGGAAAAGACCTTCAAGATCATCAAGTCCAACCATTAACCTTACTCTGCCAAGTCCAGCACTAAGCCATGTCCCCAAGCATCACATCCAGATGACTTTTAAACACATCCAGGGATGGTGACTCAACCACCTCCCTGGGCAGCCTGTTCCAATGTCTGACGACCCTTTCAGTGAAAAAGTTCTTCCTAATGTCCAGTCTGAACCTCCCCTGGTGCAGCTTGAGGCCATTTCCTCTTGTTCTATCACCAGTTACTTGTGAGAAGAGACCAGCACCTGCCTCTCTACAATATCCTTTCAGGTAGTTGTAGAGGGCAATGAGGTCTGTCCTCAGCCTCCTTTTCTTCAGACTAAACAGCCCCAGTTCCCTCAGCTGCTCCTCATAAGACTTGTTCTCAAGGTCCTTCACCAGCTTGGTCACCCTTCTTTGGCCACACTCCAGCACCTCAATGTTTCCCTTGTATTGAGCTGCCCAGAATAATACAAGATGTGCAGGCAGAAAAGGATCACTTTTTTTGCCCTGTTACAACAGATGGCAGATGCCCAGATGTATCATGTGAGTTGTTCTGCAGACAGTTTGGGTCCAGATTCTCCAAAGGACTTCAGGAGTGACTGCTGGGACAGGCTACATGCTGGCTGAAGAAATGATGGTAAAAGACATTCGTATCCTTTGCAAAGAAAAAGGAAGAGTTTGATGTCAAAGCATCACTCCATAGAGCTGTGAGGGATTCCTATCTCCTGGTCAAGGCCCAAAGACAAGAAGGGAAAAGGGACAAGAAGGAAATTCTGTCATTTCTCTGGATTTTATACAACCCTTTGCAGGCTGAAATAGGCACCGAAGAGATAAAAATTGAATCCAGGAAGAATTTCAAGCTGTATCTTGTGGATTTAAGTACAGATGAGTGTTTCTCAAAATAGGGTATCTACTCTTGAAACAATATTTTAGAGATAAAAAAGTTCTTGCCTTGAAATGCAAGTAGTCAAAAGAGGTTCTAGACAAGTTACAAACACAGTGGCTTGAACATCAGCCTACAGACAGGTTTGGAGTGGGTCCTCCTCTTGAATATGTCACCTTGCAGCAGAAAATGCAAGGGGCAATGGTCACTAACTGGTGCACAGGAGGTTTAACCTACATATAAGAAAATACTTCTTTACTCTGAGGGTAACAAGATGCCCAGGGAGGTTGTGGAGTCTCCATCCCTAGAGACATTCCAAATCTGCTCTAGGAGATGCTGCTCTAGCAAGGGGTTGGACGAGATGATCTCCAGAGGTCCCTTCCAACCCTGACCATTCTCTGATCTCACAAGGGCCATCTCAGATGAGAAGGATGTGTAGGGAGCAAAAAGCAATCCCAGGTTTAATCCTAGTTCCTGAAGCTGCAGGAGAAGCCCCATTGTGCAGAATGCAATTAACTGAGTCATACCTGCTACTCTGATGGATTGTGCTGGGCTGTGCTTTAAAGCTTGCTCAAATTCATTTTTCTTAGCTCAAAATCTTCAGTAAACATGAGAGTCCCTTATTGGCAAACCCCAAACTACCTACAGCAAGTGCTGATCAGACCAAATTAGGCACAACAGTCACTTTGTTGTGCAGCAGAAGAAATTGAAGTATCTGAGCAAAGCAACTCAAGAGAAGCAGCTTTACAAACTGTTCTGGTGGGCACATAAATTGAAGTTCTTCCTAAAAAGAAACATGCCTAAATTCCTTTGTAAACCCTACAGGCAAATGGGTGAGAAATTAATTAGTTTGCAGGACCAGGAGAGTCTTTAGAGCTTGTTATGACAAGGCTACTCAAGCTAACACATTAGTATGCCTGAACAATACCTCTTCAGTCCAGCTGCCAAAAAAA